AGCTCTAAATGGGTACCTGACATTAGTTGGGGAAAAGTAAAGGGGGTTGGTCGTTGTGCTGGCCACATGACACCCTTGTTAACCGTAGGCCACAGAAACAGATGACCTTTATATCTTCTGCCCTATAGACCACAAGGTCTGAAAGGGGAACTTTTTTTTTATATAATATAATACAGACGTTACTTCAAAAAAGAAGATGATTACATCTTACGCGTCATGCATCTAGTCATGCATGTTAACCAATGACTTTAATTCTGCCAGGTCACTGGTTTTCCTGGCTGATTCAGGCAACCGATTCCATGCTCTAATAGCACTAGGGAAGAATTTAATAAACCCTAATGCTTTGTTTGATTTTTTAATAGTTTCATCAATATGAGGATTCCTTGACAGCTTTTCATTTATTATAACACCTAAGTATTTTGCATTTTTAGTCTCAGTTACTGGTTTACCATGAATAAGATAAGTGGAATGTATTTGTTTTAGTTTGTTTTGTTACTCTTCATACTCCCCTTTCTATTGGGCAACTGAGGTTGAAGGCTTAGTCTTGGTAATAAAGAGTACTCCTTTCAATACTTGCAATCTATATAAACTTCCACTGTTAACAAAAGGGTCATGTGGCCAGCACATTGAGCAACTGCCTTTTTCCTTCCCAATGTAACTATTAGACTCAGGTGGGTCCCAAAATTTCCAAAGCCCAGTCTTCAGCAAGGTTTCGAACTTAAGACCTCTCAGCTCAGGGGACGGATGCTTTACCACTGAGCCAACATCTCACATAGTCCTGGTAATGATTTTGACTAACATTCTTATGATATGTATAGCACAGTGAAGAGCCTATCTCTCATTCGTAGCCTCTGGCAGAAAGGTTCTTCTTAACCAATGGTCTCAACTTTATAATACTGTTATAAACCTGGTGGTGACACAGATAGGGGTAGTGTTGTGTGTGTTTTAAGACTACGCAAATTGCCCCACTCTAGCTCTAGACGAGCGGTCAACTGTGACGAGTGACAGTACACGCCAGTTCGGCAAGGACCTGTGTTGTAAATATTATGTAAGCAAGTCACTTCGAATGTGATCAACCAGTGGTCAAGCAATGTTCCATCTGGGTCTAGAAGGCCTGTAGTGACCCTATATAGGAGCGAATGTGTCAGAGTCAAGTCATCTCACATTACCTTGCAATCTGACCAGTACGAGGGGAAGTCAGAATCAGCACAGTGTGTGAAGTCAGTCCGGAGCAGAGGCTAGGTTTTTGGACAGTCAGTATAATGTTGTTGCCAACTGTACAGTATTTGTGATGTATTTGAAATTAAACTGTTACTTTTACTTTGGAGCCCTGAGTTGTGAGGTTCTTTAAGTTCGTTGTGTCGTGTGGTGCAGTTTGCAGAGAGCCTGGATAGTGACTAACGTAACAATACTGACATGAAAGAGCTCTGTATATTATTTTGATTGGTTTTACACATTTTGAAAATCCCATCAGAGCTAAAGATTATTATATCCTTTCCAAAACCTCCTGCAGGAAGGTTATATTGGGAAATTAAAGGCAGTTGGTCATTGAGCTGGCCACATGACTCTCTTGCTAAGCTTTATATAGATTGCAAGTGTATGGGGGCTGCCTGGTTGTTCAGTTTGCACGCTGGACTGTTGTTTGGACTTATCTCATCCCCCGTCGTCTTGCAGGAAGTAGATTATCTTAAATTCTGAAGGAACATCTGAAACATGTCAAACATTTAACAAACATGATATTGTACTTTTTATTACCAAGACTAAGCCTTCAACCTCAGTTGCCCAGTATTAATGAGAGTACTCAGGCTGAACACCAATACCTCAAGAATCCTTTCATATACTCTCTCTCTATCACTCCAGCGAATGAGATGGTGGCTGGCAGGGTTTGACCCAAGACCAGGGAGGTGGCAGTGCAGAGCACATACCACCTTGTCTAAACCACATTAAACATGGTAACACTGCGGTGACCTTAGCCTAAAACCTTCTGCATTACTGTTGCTTATGACAGAGGTGTCTTTTAATAATTCAGAATACAAAACTCACAAGATGTTAAATTACCTGTAGAATTAATATTTGCTATTTCAGCACACAAAAAAAGATTTATGTTAGGTTTTTCATTTTTTGCCAACAGGCTCGACTGCCACTTGTTCACAATTCAGTTCCACAACTAAAATGGCTGATTGATAATGTCAAGTCCTCAAGCCTGATGGTCTGGCATGAAGAAGGAGATTTTGTTGTGACTGAAGACATCATGTACATATCCTACAAGTTCCCAACCAAAGGAGTATATTTCAATCTCAACCATGACCTGTTTCAGCTGTTGTTTGATAATTATAGACATTTCTCAAAAGACAAAGTTGATCCCCATGTGTTAATTAAAGACCAACGTGTCTTTAAGCCTGAAGGCTGGTGGAAAATGGGATTTTACCTGCAAAATAATTCAGTCCTTCCTAGTACAGAATCTATCATTATTACATCTCCGAAAGTTTCCTTAATGTCAAAATCAACACTTTGGCCTTCCTCTAATGAAAGTATTCAAGGCAGGATCATTTTCTTCAATAGAAATAATTGTGAAAGTGTAAGTCTTGTCACTGGACTCAATATTTATGTCTCTCTCTTACAGTATGGGGATGACAGATTTACTAATATCGTAGGCATTCGTTGCTTCATAGGCATTGGGGGTGAGATAGAGGTTGCTGGTGTTAATTTACCAGACAGTATAGACAATTTTGGACAAGCTGCAAGAGTTACCCCAACCCCTACAAACTGCTATCGTTTTAAAATTGTTAATGAAGGAACACAAATTCTTTTCTGGGTGACTTCCCTCTATGATTGTACAACTTTAGAAAGTGTGTCAGAACCAGAGCCCTTGACCCCTCTGTTAACAGTTCCCATTCCTGCTGACGTGTTTAGTAGAGAGCCATATCTGTTTACTATAAAAATGGAAGATGTCAGATGTCAGGTTCTTATCGATGAATTGAGAGTTAATAAGGAACTCAAATTTTAATTTTGTAATGAAAATGTGCTTTTTGATTCTATCGCTGTGGTGGGTTTTTAAAGCAACTTTTATCATAGAAATGTATATATTGCTCTTAAATTGTAGCATATGTAGAAATCACGCAAGTTCACAGCAAAGGTATTGAATTTTTGTTTCGAATTTTAAAATTTCACCTTTTTATGTTTCATATAGCAGTACTGGTATATGGATTTTATTTTTGTAAAGTCTTAAGCAGGTTTTCTGATTTTTTTGTTGTTGTTGCTTTTTATTTTTTGGAGCTGTCCAATATTCACTTGCCTTCTGAAATTTACTGCATGTAAAGGGAAAAAAGTATCCCTCTAAAAATTGGGCACGATATTGCCCAAATTGTGCTAGTGTGCCAAAAATCCAAAATCCAAATCCCTCTTTAAAAAAAAAATAAATCATTATACCTGATACAGTTGATAAATTATTTGCATAATATTTATTCGTATGATCCGTGTCACAGTTTTTTTATTCCACAATCAAATCTTTACTATGCATTAGATTTTTATGTATGTTTGAGTAACATAACTAAATCTTAGAAGGACTTAATGATAGAGGTGCACACTTTACATGGATATTATTCAAATGGACATACATATATATACTTTAATTGACATAGATAAACCTTAGTGGGACATGGTTTTATATATATATATATACTTTTGTGGGTTTTTTTTTTTTTTTTGGTATTGAGGTATTTCATTAAATTGTATTAGTCTCTCAATTCAACGTTACACTTGAGCACAGATAAACCACAAGCTTTACTGCATTCAAGAAGAACATTATGACCTACATGTTCAAAACATATTGAGATTACAAGCTTGATATTTCAAGTTTTATTGTTAATTTTTATTATGTTCTCATAATATGGAAAGACAAAGGCTTAGCCCTCAACACCAAAATCAGACATGCATTCCCTAGTCATGGCCACATTTTTATATGCTTGTGAGTCTTGGACGCTGACTGCAGAATTAGAGAGGAGGATCCTAGCAATGGAATTGAGATGCTACAGAAGGATCCTAGGTATAACATTTAAAGACCACATCACCAACCAAGTGATAAGAGACATGGACCCCCATGATGACCTGCTAACTATCGTAAAAAAATGCAAGCTACAAATCTATGGCCATATTACAAGGTCTTCGCGGCCCGCAAAAAACTTCCTTCAGGGAACAGTACCAGGAAGAAAAAAAAAGAGAAAGCGATGGGAAGACAACATAAAAGAATGGACGGGCCTGCCATTGAAAGAGGTTCTAACTAAGGCAAAAGACAGAGAGGAATGGAGAAAGATGGTTGCCAAATCTTTCATGGTGCCCCAACTGTCCAACAGATTAAGGGATAGTAAAAAAAAAAAGTAAAAAAAAAAAAAATGTTCTCAAAGCACCCTGAGACTGCATTATGTTTGTCAATTATTATTGCTATTTTTTAATTATGTACTTAAGTGACACATTTATAAGTTCATTCGAAGATGTAAGGCCTTTTAAACTTCATCCAAAGAAAAATAATATAAACCTAAACGTGAGAATGAACTTGCAATTACTAAGATGAATACAAAATAAATTGAAAGATATTAATACAATTCATTGATATTAAAGTAAGCTCCTTTTTTATACTGACTGTATGAGCTAATCAAAAATGACAATTGATATGTGCCATGATCTTTCTTTTATAGCATTTCAAAAAGGCAGGATGATACTTGACTCTTTCTTTGAATTTTCTTTCAAATATTTTTTCCCTGCCATCAAGTATATTTATTTACAAAACAACTGATCAAGGTCTCAACTTGAAGCTCTGCTGGTCATCTGCAATGTACATTTTTTTCTCTTTTGTGACCCAGTGTGTTAACCTATTAATTTAATGCTGCTCCACAACAGGCCAAGATTTGTAACACTATTCTTTGAGTTGAAAATGTCAATGGATGTTTCTCATTTGAAGTCCACATTTTTAGTAAGAATATGCTTTTGTTACATGTTATGCTTTTGTTACATGTTATGCTTTTGTTGTGACCATAAGATGGTACTATAGTACATAAAAATACTTATATCTATGTGACTGTAGATAAATGACAAGCATTCCAAAAATAAAACAGAAAAACTATTGTCAGCCCACAGTCATATACCGGTATAATAAAGCTATAAAAAAGAAAACTTTTTTAGAATAAATTTTTATAATAGTTACAATCTCAAATTAATGTCTGTTTCAGTTGTTCCAAACAATGTTTGAACTTGTATATATTTTTGTAAATATATAGAGCTTTCAGAATATATATTATATATATTTATATATATTTAATAATAAATTTTACACATTTTTACAAAGAATTTGCTCTTAGTACATTTATGCTTTTGTTGGTATTATAGTAGTATAGATGGTATTATAGTACTTAAAAATACTTATCTATCACTGTAGATAAATGACAAGCATTTCAAAAAAGTGAAACAACAAACCTAGTGTTAAGGTGCCTATTGAGATATCATCCTCCCTACATTGCTCTATGCCTCAGAAACGTTGATAGTATATAGAAAATCTGCAAAAAAACTGAATCACTTCCACATAACATAAGAAAAAGAAAGCGCTCACAAGGTGGACAAAGAAAATGCTTCTGAACTCTGAAAGCGTCTCTGAAAGCCTTTAGCATTGGTCCTGTGTCACGGCTCCTTACTGAGTGTCATTGGATTGTACCTATTAAAATAATTAAAGATGGCTTGCTTCACTTGAACTGGTGTACTACTTTTTATTTTGTATGTCTACTTTATTCAGCACAGCACAACAAATATTAATAGTAATCACGTAAGACCTTGATCAGCAGATGATATTTATTTCCAAAAAAATAAAATAACAGTTCACTGGCAACTCCAGCCACAAAGAGACATATTATGGAATATTCTAAGTACACAACTGATACTAAATCACAGAATCAACTACATATTAGACATCATTACAGCTTAAGAACATGGCGACTACTGACCCTCTAACCATAAGGTTAACTTCCAGAATTCTCGATTAGGTTTCACGTGAAACACAACAAAAAGTTCTACTTCGTGATCCCCACTAATTCATGTCACTGACAATGATGAGACATCCAGCCACCTGAGAGACAGAAGCACATGACAGAGCATCATGCTGTGAAAACTGGTGCTCAAATTGCTGAGGACAAGAGAACAGCGCTGGCAGAAGAAAAGCGTCATAGAAAAAAAGCAAGGCCAATGACACTAGCTCCAGCTGGAAAAGCCTGCCCAGTGTACAGCTGGGATCACATAAGTCTCAAACCAGCCACATGAGGAGGCACAAAAAAACCAGTGCAAAGCCTAGCTCATAGCACTGGCGGATCCAGGAAGGGGGGGCCGGTAGGGGCGATCATTCCCCCCCTCCCCGAAGGGGGAGCGGACGAATTTTAGTATAGAATTTGCACGATTTGTATACGAATTTATTACTTATGTTAATAATATTTAGTGATTATTTATATTTCAACCTATTTTTAGATTATTTCGCCCCCCTGTCAGGTGGGTTTTGTCGCTTAGGTATGATATTACGGTCCCGTATCCCCAGCATGAACAGAGTAACACAAGAACCTAAAGGTACTAGCATGTAAAATACAAACATTGAATAACAGTTTTTCAACTGAACATTTAGTGAATAACAACAGTTGTCAACAGGAACAATATTTAATTATACTTAATTGTAATTTTCAAACATATTTACATGTACATCAGTATCATTGAGTTTAGCATTTGAGTAATAGTTAGTCTAGTGTCACACCAACAAGTTTCGGTAACACACCTTCACGCTCACACTCCATCTCGGCGCCCAACAGAACCTCAACTCCCTACACCTCAACACCGATAGTTACTACACAGCTTCAAGGGCAGAAAAACGACACACTTTCCCATAGCCCAAGCCTAACACCCTGTAACGAAAAGAAAACCTAGATCTAGCGCTGCCGCTACAAGAAAGAACTTTTTCAATAAAACTATGTACTTACGTACCCTTACAAGGGGAACCAAAAAAACAGCTACCCAGCTCACAAAAGCAGCTCTCTCTATCTTGCGGAAACTAAGGATGACGTAAACACACACACACACACAATATTCTAGACAACAAAACGCACTTAAAAGAAACTACTTCCTATACGCTAAAACACCAATACGCTAAAACACCAATATTAAATGCAAAGAAAACTTCAAGCGCGCACGACACCCTCCTCTAGCATGTTGGCCGATTTGGTGGGGTCCGCAAGGGGCGATGGCATCAATCCCGCCCCCCCCCTAAACTTTTGAGTGGGGGGGGGGGGGGTCGGTCCAATTTATTTATAGAAATCACAGCTTGCTAACAGAACCAATTAAATATCTATATGGTTAAAACTTGTTATTGATATTTTAACCGATCTTTATATTGTTTCGTTCCCCTGCCCTTCGCCCTTCCCACCTAAACCCTTTGAGGGGGGGGGGGGGGCGTCCTACTTTTATGGACAAATCATAGTTTGTGAACAAAATTAGTTGAATTAATATATACATTTTATGTTGTCGCTTCTCTTCTGGTATTTTGGCCCATTCGGTGGGGTAAGGAGGGGGGCGATCGCATGTATTGCCCTCCCTACTCTAGCCCTCTGAGTGGTGGGGGGCGGTCCTATTTTTATGGAGAAATCATAGTTCGTGAACAAAATTAGTTGAATATCTATATAATATAAGCTACGTATTGATATGTCGCACCACACTCTAAACTCTAATCTCAAACAATTTTTCTTTTTGTATTATTGTTAAGAAATTACAAAATTTAAAAAATCTGTCACTAATATAGAGAGTTAATTTATATATGATATAAATAAAATTCTTATATCTAGTCGCCCCACCCCTATTCTTTAATGCCAAATGCAATCATTAGAAGAAATAATAAAAAGGAGCGAGGATTATTTGTTTTCACTCTACCGCCCCTCCCTTTCTAGACAGAATTTATGTAATTTCACATGAATTTATCTTTTTTTTTTTTAAGAAAGACTGCTTTGGAAAAGTTTGATTTCAAACGAAATTTTTCAGTATAAGAGTGACGATTGAGATGAGTTCTAAACCCAGCTAATGTTTCCCTAGTCGCTTTTTTCCGACCTTTACTCAATCTGATATTTTTCTAGCTAAATAAACTTGGGACTATAACTCACAATTTATGCGTCAATTTTATTGAATATTATTTATCGAAAAAACAATTTTTTTCGGCGGCGATCCTAAAAACCTTAATCTAAATATGTAGGCCCCTATCTTTTCAAGGAATAAATCGGTTTTATTTGCCTATAAATTTATATTAGAATATTTTTCAACAGTATTCAAAAGGTCCTTTTTTAATAGAATGAATAATGAGTAAGGATGGCTGCCTGGTCGTGCGGTTTGCGCTCTGGACTGTCGTTCAGATTTATCGATGATCCAGGGTTCAAACCCTGCCCGCTCCCATCCCCCGTCGTCCTGCGGGAGGTTTGGACTAGTAAGTAATTATCTTCAACTCTGAAGGAACATCCGAAACATGTAAAACATTTTACAAACAAACATTTTTAAGGTCAGGAGAATGCGTTTCTTTAGTAAAGAATGCAAGAAAACGCTTTTGGTGTCGGGGCTTCGCCCCGAACTCCACTGATGAATAATAAGCTGTAGATGTCAGGAGAAATGGGGTTCTGCAGTGAATTGTGCAAGAAAATTTATATTAGAATATTTTTCAACAGTATTCAAAAGGTCCTTTTTTAATAGAATGAATAATGAGCTTAAGGTCAGGAGAATGCGTTTCTTTAGTAAAGAATGCAAGAAAACGCTTTTGGCGTCGGGGCTTCGATCACCCCGAACCCCATTGATGAATAATGAGCTGTAGATGTTAGGAGAATGCGTTTCTGCAGTGAAAAATGCAAGAAAACGATCTTGGCGGCGGGGCTTCGCCCCGAACTCCACTGGGGAAGCTTACAGCGCTCCCCCAGAATCCCAAGCTTGCAAGAGAAAGGGCTCAACATGACTGCTTTTTTTTTTCGCCGAAGGTTGAGAAACACTTCTTTTATTTATAATCTTATATATATGTATATATATATATGCTGTACCCACGTTTATGTATAGGGTTGGGGTTTACTGGGCGTTAGGGTTAGGGTTTGGAAAAAAAGCGCCCCTCCCCCACTTCAAAGTTCCGCTAGTGGCTCGAAGCCCCCTGGATATATAATAAAGATATAAAAACAAAGATTTTTCTTTTTTTCTACAAGAAATTATTTATATATATAATTTTGGCTGCTTTGTAACTTGATACCAGTGTCTGCTGTTGATTGTAGGGTTACAAATAACAGTACTTTGTTTATTTTGGCAAAGGAAATAATTTGATTATCTTGATTTTATCACAGGAAATAGTTCTACATGTTGATATAAATCATGTATAGTTTCAAGGGCTGCAATTCAAGGCTTATTAACAAATATTTTCCAATACATTATTTTCACGAACTTGTCAAACTAGAAACATTTTTGGAGTAATTTTATATTTCTTGTTAATTATCTCCACTCACAGACACACTTTTAATACTTACGGTAATCAATAAATAGCCCTGCAAGGAAAAAGATAAAGGGGCATTTTTTAATCCACTTTCCAAGACGAATTCAGAATTTATATCGCTTCATTTAAATACTTTTTTCCCCAAGTTCCATAAATAACAGCCCTAGATAGGAAATAGTATATGTGTTCTCTGACCAAATTATACAGGTAACATGTTTTCAACATAAACAAATTAAATAATTATAATATATCTTCTTAGAATAACAGAAGTTACCGGTACTTCAAAAGAGACATTATGTAATATGCACGATTTCATGAGAAATGAGTCACTTTCTTTTTAGGGAACCTGTTTGATCCTGTCATATACTATCCTGGTACCTTGCTCGCTGCTAGACTCTTGATATTCTTTCTCTTCTCTTAAACTACAAGAGGAAAAATATCTCTCTATAATGTAAGATAGAAATTTGGACAGTTGGAAAACTAGGTTAGTTGGCAACTGTTGTTCTCAATCAAACTAAAGTTTCGCTTTTTTCATTTTTTATTGATAGACTATCCAGACACTCTATAGATTCGCATAAATAGATCTACTAGATTCTAATTGATATTAGACTGAAAATGAGTGACAAAGGATTGCTTATTAGCCTCATTGAACCAGAAGATCCAGATCTATCATTACAGGATGTTAAAACTAAAGCTTATTCAGCACAAAGACAACGAATTAACAAATGGCGACTAGCCTCGATTGTTGTAACAATGATTA